TTTTTTTTTTTTTTTTTTTTTTTTTTTTTTTTTTTTTTTTTTTTTTTTTTTTTTTTTCTGTTTATTGCGCCAAGTGATTCTAACACGATTTCTCTTAGTTGCCACTATACTATCTTTCAGTCACAATTAATGACCGAAGATTTTCATGCCCTCTAGATTATTGAGTTGATGCTGCAGTATCATGGGGTACAGCGCATGACGTCATTGGTATGCGTGACTCGTCGGTATGGATGAGAACTTAGGTATTTTATAGGGGGAAAAAAAAAAAAAAAAAAAAAAAAAAACTCTCAAGTCATATCCACGTGTGTGCATCGTTTATACCTCCTTCTCCTCGGTAGCGACGGTCGTGTACGACCGCGGTAGCTCGGCTTCCTTGGCCGGTCCCAGCGCGTGGGTGTAGATAAGCGCACCTGCCACTCCACCGAGAATCGGTCCAACCCAGTAGAGCCAATGGTCCGGATAAGCACCTTTGACCACCGCGGCGCCTAGAGCGCGTGCCGGGTTCATACCCGTGCTCGTACGCGGGATCTGAAATTTTTTTTTTTTTTTTTTCAGATTACATACTCGCTGAGCTCTCGTATTCTAACTTTTCGATTTTTTTTTTTTTTTTTTTAACGACCCGGAAATCATCCCGTATCGTTGATTCAATCGCGCAGTAATTCGAGACAGGGATCGGTTCAACAATGAGCCACGTAGAGGAGGTAAAAAAGGTAATGCGACATTGTAAAAACACGGTGGTTGAAAAAAGATGTGGGTTGTACTCACGCCGACGATGTGGCCAATGGTGACGGCGAGTCCGATGATGAGCGGTGCGAGGGGCTTGTTCTCTGGTTTTCCCGGATCGCAGGCCCCGCATACGACGAGCACGAGGATGAAGGCCAGGAAGAACTCGACCCCCATACCCTGGACGGGCGTGAGGTTGTTCTTGAGCTCGACGGCCCCCAAGCTCGGCTCCATCATCTCGGAGGACAGGGCGCGCAGCACCGCCGAGCCGGCTATCGCCCCCGCGCACTGGACCGCCACGTAGAGCAATGCTCGGATAACGGGCACCTAGTTTTTTTTTTTTTTTTTTTTTTTTCTCATTAGAAAGCTTGTAGGTAATAATTCACTGTGTTTTTGCTCGTTTCACCTTTTTTTTTTTTTCTTTTTTTTTTACTAACTACTACTAGTCCATTGCCGGTTCCAACCGGCATAGGGTGGCTTCCACGTGTAAAAATCGACTCACCTTGCCGATGGCGAGCATACCACAGGTGACCGCTGGATTGACGTGGCCGCCGGATATGTGGCCGATAGCCGTTATGGCCGCCGCCACGGTCAAACCGAACGAGAAGCTGATGGCCAGTATGCTGCCATATTAATCTACATACTCTGGTACTGATATAGTATGAATTATTAGAGTAGTATAATATATTGAGCAAATACGTACTTGAAAGAGTAAAATTTTGGTAAACAAATTTCAAATAGCTTCAACATTATACTTAATTGTACGTGAACGATTATACAAAAATATACACGTTATGCGAGAATAATATTTGTAACTTTGAGAAATATACTAATTACCTATAGCAAATGGTAATTTTTTTGTCCATCAGTGTTATTTCGCCCCTTGAAAAAATGATTGATTTCGATTAATTCGTAAAAATATTTGTTACAGCAGAGATGACACGTTCATAAGTATACATTATATTATTATATTTTAGTGGTTGTAATGATAATTGAGTTGAAGATTTACGCTGCATCATTCAAAGTGAAACTTACCAGATGAATGACATGAAAAAAAAAAAAAAAAAAAAAAAAAAAAAAAAAAAAAAAAAAAAAAAAAAAAAAAA